CGGTCCCGCCCCCTCAGACTGGCCCCGCCCCGAGCCCGGCCCCCTCCGGCAGCCGAAAGGCACAGAGGGAAGAAGCCACGAGCAGCGGAGGAGTAAACCCGGGAGGTCTCTACTGAGTCTCCTTCCCCAGACCCGGGGACTGATTTCGTGGCTTGATTGCGTATGGAATGAGTCCTTCTTCTTGACCCCACTCCACCTCACATAATTTTTTTCTTAGCTCTAGAGCAAAACTGGGAAAGGGGTTCCTAAGGCAGAGTCTCCCAGAATCTGGTTCCCGGCCCTCCCTCGTGCGGAACCTGCATGAAGCCTAGTAGCAGGGGAAGAGGATCGGGCTCCCTCCCCTTCTGCCAAACCCCTCTCTCTGTCCTGCTGACCGACCCTTGACCTCGAAGTCTTGAATTCTTAAAACAACGTGAAAGCACACATAGGATGGGCCTGAACCCACTTCTGCAAATTGAGGACAGTTCTCAGACTAAAGATGCTGGAAAGGACCGTGTCATCCTTCCAGACGTTTCCCCTCATGGGCTGACTTTCTCGTGCAGATTAACTTGCTCCTGCGAAGTTACCAACGGTGGTTGCCATTCCCAGTCGAGTAAGGGAGGGAAAGGCAGGCCATCTTCCAGGCGTGCCCTTCTAGAGTCTAACTAGGTGGGAAAGCAAAGCATGCAGCTGGAGAGCCGAAAATAGGGGCCTGGAAAGAGCCGGAGCCTGTCTGAGCATGTGCAACCCCCACGGGTCGTACCCAGCAGAGGCCTTCAGGAAGGCGGTGAAAGGAGCCCCAAAGTGAGGCTGTCTTTTCAGGCTGGTGAACAACTGCCAAGGAGCAAGGAAGGAACCTGAGAAGCAAGCCCTGCATTAGCCCATGGCCTGGGAGGGGTCTCTTGGGGGTCTGCCTCTATCCTTCTCCCCAAAGACTGAGGAAAAGAAGTGAAAATGTTGGCAATTCCCAAGCCAGGAAAAACCCACAAGAGGCAGATTAGACGGTGGGCCACAGGCTTTCTTCCAGGAACTCTGCCCAGGCCAGAAATCATTTTGGTTGGTTGTCTGTTTTTTAGGAGAGAGAGTTAATAGAGCGAGATGTAGATAAGCTGCCATCGGTCAGAAGTGATTTTTTTCAGGCAGGAGCAGAGGTTAACCAATGGTGATAGTTTCTGTTGGCCAAGACCTGTCTCTTCCCACCCCTCCACCCCCTGACCCCCAGAGAAGACAGTGGTGGAACCTCCAGAGCTACATCATCCAGTATGGTCACCACAAGCCACCTGTGGCTACTGAGACCTTGAAATGTTGCTGTGTCAGATGTGGTGTAACTATAAAATACAGACTGGATTTCGAAGACTTACTATAAAAAAGAATGTAAAATATCTCATTAATAATCTTCATATTGACACGTTGAATATTTTGACTATCATATAAGCACATTAAATAGTATTTGGGGATAGATCGGTTAAGTAAAATATATTATTAAAAGTATTTTCACTTGTTTCTTCTTATTTTTTAATGTGGCTACCAGAACATTTTTAATTATACATATGGCTTACATTATATTAAATAGTATTAGTCTGGACTGGCAAATCTACCCACGCACACACACACCTGGATATGCATGCACCATGCTCTCCAGCCCCACCTCATGCATAAAATAATTCATGTCCTCTTTCTGCCATTCTATAATCTTCTTGCGCTTTGGGAATCAATCAAGCCTTTCTTGACTGGTCACTTCCCATGGCCCAAATCCCAAATACCTGTGTGTGCAAATGAGAGAGGCTTTTCTTGCCTTAACAGCATGTCAGTCCTCACGATTGCACATTGTGTTGGCCTGTCTTACCTCTCCCTTTGAGACAGAAGCCACCTGAGAGAAGGAAGGTTATATAATCGATTCTTTTCTAGATTCTGCTGCAAATGTCCTCACTCTGTTTTCAGTTAGGCCAGCAGGTGTTTGGTGACCAGCCACTCTGCCCATGCAGACTACCACCACATTTTGCCCTTTCTGAAAAATATTATTTGGCATTTCTCATTTCCTAAGAATCTAAAGTCGGGAGTGAGTTCCCCCTTTATAAAGTCAAAAATCTTGTATATAGGGCAGCTTAGCACGGGGTGCAGGGGAACAAAAAAGGACAGTGAATTTGGGGGTGGTGGGCAGAGAAAGAACCTTGGAGCAACTAGGGCTTTGAAGCCTCATTTCTTCCTGGGGAGCAGCTCCCCAGAATGGGCCTCTGAGTCATAAGGGATCCCCCAGTCTTTACCTCACAGGGCTCCCTCCCCCAGAGCCCAAAGGAAAACAGAGACGTGCCCACAGTCGCCCAGCAAGGAGGGCCTGCCAAGAGCTCCCACCTCTTCTCCCGTAAACCCTGCCTCTCCTCTCAGAATGAAACCTTCCATCTGGGGACCACAAACTAGGAGAAGGATCAGAGGCATTAGGCCGCCTGGAGCTGACGCTCCAGTTGCTGACTGGGAGGAGAAGCAAGGGGAGTCCGTTATAATTCGTTTTTGTAAATGTTTAATATTTCAATTAATATGATTAGCCCCGAGCCCAAATGAGCAGTAGGGCGGCAGATATGCTGACAAGACACAGAGTAATGAGATCAACAGGGCCGTGGGGTCTTCCTAGGCTCCATCCTCAGAGGGCGTGATCTGTTTAGCATCTCCATAAATACCGAGATCAGATGAGACGCAGTGGGGGTGGGGGAGGTGAGTGAAAAGTTACTTTCCAGATGTGTTTGTTCTCGATTCCCTGGCACTGCCATCACGTGCTCTGAGGACGGGGCTGTTGGGATTCAGTTGGGACATGTTTCAGAGGCGCCAGCCCCACTCTGGGGGGAAGAAAGGAATGACGGGCCGCAAGGTGCTCCACAACAGGTCGCAGCCCCTGTCGCGAGCACCTGATGGCAAGGTGCTGCCGGCTCCAGGATCCTTGGTGTCAGCAGATGCTCCCTGCGATGGGGGGGGGGTGGCGGGCGGGGAGCTGGGAGTGGATCCAGTGCATGGAGGAGCCCAGCTCCCTCGAGATGACGGAGCAACCTGATCATCCATAGAAGTATAGTTGTTTAGGGGAGCAAAGCCCCCCAAGTGAGGTCCCCCCACCCCTTTGCTACCTGACAATCAGAGAACCCCACTGAAGGAGCTTAAGGGAGGGCGGAGCAAAGAGGCGTCATTGGGTTTCCTCGGCCCTCGGAGCAGCCTGGCGGCTGTGGAATCAACAATCTACTCTTGTCGGAGGTTCTTTGCATCGATCGCTTATTCGAGAAATATGTTAAGCACATACTACGTATGAGCAAGACGCTGCGAACGGTAAAATGCCGAATTAAACGGTGTCCTGGTCTGCAAGGAGCTTACAAGTGAGAGCTCCCGCCCTCGCCACCGCCTCCGCCTCGCTGCCCACGCACTTATACACACAAACCCCCCAGAGGGAGAGAAGGGGGTGTCGGCAAATGCCAGCAAGATACAGTTTTCCTTGAGTCCTTTTCTGGAAAACACACAGTTCTGTCTCTGCGTTCGTCTCAGCCCGCTCTCCCCTCGCCCGCCCCCCTTTCCATTTCCTCTCTCTGGGTCCCTCCTGCCCTTCCCCCCAGCTCTGCGACCTGCTTCCCTCCCCAGCCACTTCTCCCTCCGCCCCCACCGCCCATCCGGCCCAACTGTCCCTTTGCCATTTTCTTTCCCCTGGTTTCTATCCTTGGCTCCCCACTCTTGATCTCCCCAGATGCCGGCTGCCCCGTCCTCCGCCCCCTGCTCCCCTCTCCCGGGTCTTCTCTTTCAGCACCGGGGACAGCTCCAGCCCCCGGAACAATGGACCCCACCTTAGGGCTCCTCTGTAAATTCTCCATCTTAGCGCCTTGCCCAACTCGTGATTGGGGAGTAAGATGGGGGAAGGGTTATTATCAACAGGCCCAGCTGCTCTTCTGGGGGCGGGAAGGGAGCCGGGGAGGAAGGAGAGAGAAAGAGGGCGTGGCTCCGGTCCGGATTGTGCGTCCCTCTCCAGGGTACGGAATTTGTATTCCACCCCTGAGACTGACATCACTGCTGTCAGGGGAAAGGAGGTGGGAGTGGGGAGGGGGGTGTGGAGGGGGGAGGTTTTTGTTGAGGAGAGCGCGGCCGGAGAGCAGAGCTCCGGGACCCAGGTGACCGGGAAAGCAGGCAGCCCCAGCAGCAGGAGC